GCAGCCGCCCCTGGAGCAGCCCGCACCTGCAGCAGCCGTCCCTGGAGCAGCCTGTGCCTGCAGCAGCCGCCCCTGGAGCAGCCCGTGCCTGCAGCAGCCGCCCCTGGAGCAGCCCGTGCCTGCAGCAGCCCGCGGCCCGTCCCTGCAGCCCGTCCCGCCCCCCCACCCCCCCCCCCCCCCCCCCCCCGTGCTGCCCATTGCTCCCATTCCGCCGTACGTTCCGCGGTGGTGGGGGTGTGGGGTGGCGGGCATGGGGGTGACCGGTGTGGGTAACCTGAAACTCCTCCTCCTCCTCCGTCTCCCACTGCTGCAGCTGCCGCTGAGGGGGGTGGGTGTGTGGGAGCCGAGGGTTTAGGGTTTAAGGGGGGTGCCGTGGGAGTGGAGCTAGGGTTTCAGCAGGGGGTGTGTGTAGGGGGGTGTGGGACAGTTGGGGAAGGTTGAGTGGAGGCAGCCGTCGTGTCGTCCGCAGCGCCTGTATTCCGGGGCCCTTGTCGCCGGTAGCTCAGAGAGCCTGCTGCACCTGTTGCCTGTAGGTCCGTTGCTCCTGCCGCTCGTCGCAGCCGCAGAGCCTGTTACTCCTGTATTCCGGGGCGCACTGTCTCGGTAGCCACTGAGAGCCTGCTGCACCAGTAGCCCGTGGGTCCGTTGCTTCTGCCGCTCGTCGTAGCCGCAGAGCCTGTTACTCCTGTATTCCGGAGCGCACTGTCTCGGTAGCCACTGTGTCAGCCGCCATTGTGTCAGCCGCTCCTGTTGCCCGCGTGTCCGCAGCTTCAGTCGTCGCCTCCCATCTTCTCTCCTCTCGCCAGCCCTCCTCCTCCTCACTTGCCCGCTGTGACAACCCCAAGCTTTGCTCATATTTATGAACTATTGCTATGACTGCTCATTGTGCTGATTACACCCCACTTTGGCTATGGGGGTGTGTCAGAATATGTTGTTTGTGTAGCCTGCAGTGGGGTACTCAATAGTGAGTACAGCCCCTTAGGGTTTGCTATTTGTATCCTGCTGCTTGCTAGTTCAATCATTCCCTTCTCAATTCTGTTCGTGCACACAATTCTCGCTCGTACTTGGCGCCTCCCTTCGTAGTCCTACTGTGGCCTAGGCTACTGAGCCTAGGCCGTACTCTTACTATACTTGACAACACCTCCTATCAAGATTGTACTTTCTACCTGGCAAAAGTAGCGAGAGTTTTTTGGGTTTAGGGGATTTTTCAGTGTGAGCTTGATATGAGGTCAGATTGATAAGAGGATAGGAATATGCCATAAATGCAATAAATTTAGAAAGCTTGCTTTCTCTTACTTCAACTGGCACCGTTCTTATTTCAACTGGCAAATTACACTATGCATGTCGAGCTAGGAAACAAAAATGCTAGTACATGTTATTGGAGCGTGTTCCTACGGGGCCCCTATCAGACCACCTCTATTCAGACTCGCCCCAATCACGTATTTCTCAGTGTAAGGCGAATTCGTATTGGACACTTTTGTGGTCTTGCAACCTACGTGAAAAGTACTAGCGTGGGTGATGTGCCACGTGGATCACGAACAGCTTTCCTGTACTGCCCGAACATCCGGGCAAGGAAGCTCAGTTTAAGAAGAAACGCTAGGAACCGAATTACATTATGGCATCCCATCGAATCGTGAACAAACTGCTGGTGACACTGTACAAATTCGGCCCGCTGAAAAAAACTGTAGCCACACTCTCGACAAAATTGGCCTATGTTTGCACATGTTCAGCGCAGGTCCTCGGTGTGGTTTGTTGATGTGGCGCGATTGAAAGGTTTCGCGCGCACAAATTCATTTCGCGCAATACAAGTCTGAAATTCGTTTCTTACAACGAAATTATCGAGTTTGACCAAATCTGATATGAGGTAGGCCTGACAAGGGCCCGTAGGAACACGCTCTTAAACTACGTATCAATCATTGTACTAGCTATGAATCACGATATTTGCTATCTATCATGCTACTTGCCATCGAGCTTCTTGTTCAAGCGGCGTCGGTGATGTCCACCAGTGTTGGGGCAGGGGGTGGGAGAGTTGTATGAGCCGTCAGAAAAACGAGAGGCGTGGGTGGAGGGAAATGAGCTCCAACCCACGATTTGTAGCTGGAGAATGGCGGTTTGCGCGCTTCGACGATGCCAAAACATGCGTTACAAGCACCTGCGCTTTCGAATCACGTAATTTTGAAAAACACTCTGTGTGTGTAAAAATTATAATATTATGGTGGACAACACAAGCTGACATGCATGAATTGAGAAACTGTCTCATGATGGATTTAATTTGTGAAAACCCGTTCTGTTCACAACAACCAATTTGGAGAAGCACACAACGCAAAGATTTAACGGATCTGTTTTTACGAGTTCCCGAAACCATGGCGGTGAGGTGAGTTGGGGTCGTCTCGAAGTCCAAGTCGCAGACAAGGGACATCAAGAAATCCATTACTGTTTGGCTGCACCAAGTTCCGCCGGCAGCTCTGTCAAAGGGGTGAACTGTAAACGAAGCCGTCGAGCGACAAAAATGTGTGGTACAAAACCACCAGCGAGAAGCGCCGTGCCAGGGTCCACCATCCTCAGTGTGCTGCCAGCTGACAAGCAGTTTTTATTTTTGATAATGGTTACTCTTTTCAGTTTCGACCAACCTCCAAACCAAAAGCAATATTTCAATTTTTTTGGTTGACGATTCGTCAGTCTTGTCTGGGATCATTGTTCCTCGCAAATGATGCACAGCAGGGATGGAAGATGAAAAGAGGGACCGAAAAGGGGTCCAAAACCACAATTGGTGCTCTGACCTGACCTGACCAACCACAAACCAGCCACGAATTGTATGTGAGGCTGCAATTCCACCCGGCCCCGTTCTGAAAACCGTGGACCGGACAAACCAGTACACTAAATTCTCTTTAGATCCAAAAGGTATAAAGCGAGCACAACCTTTGCATCACCAAATCTCAACATGCGGGAACTGGAAATGTTGTAAGAAAAAGAAGAAATGTTGTTACATTTATCTAAAAAAATGGACGGATAATACTATACTAAGCAGTATGCTTATCTAATACAATAAAACGGAATTGTTTCTCTGAGAACATCTCAATGTACAAGCGAGCCTACCTAGAGGAATCGCTGTAAAACAAAAACTTCTAGGGAGGCATGCACTTTTTGTTGGCAACAACGCCTTGCAGCATGGTGTTAGGTTCGAAGTTAACAACAAAAGCATGCCTTTTCTATAGAGTTTTAGTTTTTATTGACCTTGGATGCATCCAGAAGCGTCGGCATGTGTTTTGTTGAAATAATCTATACGTTGTGCGGTGTAACAACAAATGCTTCCATACCTTATAGTTACTAAAACAAATGAACGTTTCACTTTTATGCTTTTTACAAACCCATTGCGAGATCGATTAGCGTCTGTGAAAAGAATTAGTCGGTTCACGTGAGACTGTAATATGTATTAGGTGCATGAAAGTTATCGTACCGTAACCATACTATCGCATTCATATGTGGTTATAATTTTCCTCTTGACCAACCACCACACTATGGTGATTTAGAAAGAAGCATTATTTGTTATCTGGTTAAAACCACTACGCTCTCACTCAGTTTACTTTTACGCCTAACTACCCCCATTCAAACACCATAGAAAACCTCTCTACGAAAATAATTTACAATCACATGTCTACCAAGAATGCCCCACCTATAGAGCCCTCCCCTCCCAATCTCTTGCTCTCCACCCCGTCGATCCACTCAGCACCTCAGCCTCATCCAGCGTAAATGATGCTCGCAAAAGAATCGCACGGGCCTGTGCCCTCTTCAAGCCTACGCTTATAATAGCTGCCATTTTTTTAATCAAGCATGGTAAGAAATTCAAGCTGTTGCTCCATCACCTTTAGTTGATTTTCCCCTGATGTCGTAACCACTATCGACATCTCCCAAAAAGCAACTATAAGTTCCAAGAATCAAAGTGGCAAATTGTACTCCCTTGTGCCGCTACAAAAAAGGTTCATGCTCTACCGTTTTATCATTTCGTTTAATTACAGTTACCAAATATACGGGCGACACCGGACTGAAACGATGTTAGACGTTTCGTTTGCCTTCACCTTATCACCATGGGCAAAAATGGGATTGTAAAAGAAATGTGTGAATGCTCGTAACCTGGTAAACAGTGCTGATGATGTATGCGCCTCGCAACAAATGTAGGCGTTGGCGTTTCACAACATGGTGACACTACTGTGTGCTCCATTATTTGTTTAGGAGGTAGTGAATAACTGTATGCAGCAAAGGTTGGGCATTGAGTGTACAGCCTTCAACTCTGTGGTCCCAACCCAACCTGACTGAACGGGTGTTGTTCCACAGTCCACTCCCTCCCGTGAAATCATTTCCTAGACCCAATCCCAGCCTTCTCAGTTTCCAGCCTTCCCAGTTTCCGGCCTTCTCAGTTTCCAGGCGTCCATGCATCATATTGCAACTTGCACTATGATTCAAAGTGCCGTTTTGAGTAAGCTCTGTTGTGTTGTTATGAGGATAATGTTCCACGAGAATCCTTCCATGGGTTTTTCAACTGGTTTCCAACGTTGCCTGCGCATCCCCACCATCCATCTTAGTAGCCATTCGGTGGATGGTTCCATCATTTTTCCCTTGCTTTCCGAGCTCAGGATAAAGGTTAATAGTATAGGGTGTGTCATGGAGTTCATTTGGGATTCCATGAGATGCTCTTCGTGTGGCAAAGGAGGGATTGCCTATCCCTTTAGAACTGCTGGCGTACAGGGTTCGCGGATTGCACAACCGTTTTTAACTCGCTATCTGCAGTAAGCATTTTACTTACAATTACATCACGGTTCCTCCTCCTTTCCCCAGTCTGCGCCTCTGTTCCGTCTGTACTGAGCCTCGTCAGGACAGGGAGGCCGTGAAGTACTATCTCGGCGCCTTCGGCTGTGGTAGTACTACTCATGACCGTTATGCGCGACCCTCCAACCGTTCGAGTCTGCTGCGCAGTGCCGTCGCGAACGTCAGCCGCGGTAGTGATGATGCAGCGCCGGCGACACCTCTCGTTGGCGCACTGCGCATCATCATCATGTCTCAAGGAGGAGCAACACTCGCTGGATTACAGCCAACCAGCTACTACGAACTCAAGTAGTAGCAATCGCCGTTGCCGCCGGCGTGTGAGGTGTACGGCGCGGCAACTTCTGCTCCTGACCGCATCATGTCTCGCGGCCCTCTCTTTCGTTCGCACCGCCAGTGCCGGACTTTCCGGCAATTCTGTCCCTCTCGACGCCACTCAAGGTACTACGAATGTCACTCCGCCGTCGTGACTACTAAGAAGATTCATCAGGCATCTTACTAGTACGAGACGGGCTCCTGACACCGGGAAGGCCTACTCGTGACTCACGGCCGCTTCCCCAAGACCTTTTTTCTCGTTCTCTCTTTCTGACTGTTGGGCCTACTTAACCCTGGATTTCCGTTCCATTGCGAATCCGCTTTGACGTGACTCACGACGACACGCGGTGCAGTCTGATGGTGCGCTCTTCTTCACTGATGGCCTTTCTTAATAGACGAGCCGTCTCTTCTTCGCGCCACATTGCGCTGCACCGCGCTGCATGATGCATGATGCATGGTGCATGGTGCATGATGCATGGTGCGTGCTGCATGGTGTATGGTGCATGGTGCATGGTGCATGGTGCATGGTGCATGCTCCATGATGCTCTCCCCGGTGCAGTCCCGGCTCTGCAGGACTGTCAGACGGAGTGGAACGTGGTGATGCCGGCGTGGAGTGCGGGGGAGAACTGCGCCGTCGCGACTTTCGACCCAACTGAAGCCCCCTGGACGAAGCCCAGAGGCATCCTGTGTGATGACAACGGCAAGGTTATCGCTCTGTGAGTGCACGCCTTGCTGGATAAGAGAATGTGCAGCTGTGCGGCTCTGGCAGGCTCGACCTTGTGTGCTGTTTGTTCCTGTTCTATGTTTTGGCGCGATGCCATGCAGGGGCGTTTGAAAGGATTAGTATGGCATGAACTCACCTTGTGCTCTTCTTTTCCTTCCGCTGCATTTTGTATTCTGTCATCCCTGGCTGGCAGGAGCATGCCAGGCGAGCAACTCCAGGGATCCCTACATGCGTCGCTGGGATCCCTCGCTCAGCTGGCCTACCTGTGCGTGTGTGCGGCTTGATTTGAGCCACTCCCACCTGCTCCGCTCGCTAGATGAGGATGAGACTGCCCTTTAAAGGACGGGTTGCCTCAAAAAGGGGCGCTGGAGTTGCTGTAGGTAGGAGGCGCCAACCTGCTGTGGAGTGGGGCACACTCGTTTACATCTTCTGCTTGTTTAAAGAGCACGCGGGCTCCTAGTCTCATTTCACCCACCCCCCACGTACGGTGCCACTCCCCATGGTCCACTCCACTCCACGTCATCATAATCATCTTGTGCCCCTGTTCTATTCACCGCAGGTCCCTGGGTGCGAACCAGCTTCGTGGCTCCCTCCCAGCCGTGCTGTCGACACTGACTGGGCTCACCATGCTGTGAGTTTCCCCTCTGCACTGCACACATCATGCCTCGTGAGTGGCAATCTTGGAACGACCTGCTCACTCCGTGCAGCCTGTGCGACAGCAGCAGCAGCTTACATGGCCCTTGGGCAACTGTGTGCATCATCTCAGCCATCACCTGTGCCGCATGCACTGCCTCACTTATTCATCATGCTCTGTAAACTTGCGTTCTTGGACCCCAACCCTTCTATTCATCACGACAACATTACCAGTTGTTGCATGAGTTTCCTTCTTGCAATCCCTCTGTACCTCACACCCCTTACCTCTCAACTCTCTCTTTTCACCTGTCTCCTGCTCTCTTCCTTCCTTTTTCCCTCCCCACTCCCTCCTCCCCCCTCTCCCTCCCTTCTCCTCAGGAACGTCTCGGGCAACCATCTCACAGGCCCCATTCTGGGCCAGCATGCCGGCCTCTGCTCGCTACGAGTACAGCAACAACTACTTCACAGGCGACCTGCAGCAAGCCGACTGCGCCGCAACGCAACCAAGCTCAAGCTCGGTGCAAACTGCTTCACATCCCTCACACGCTCGCTCCCCCCCTGCCTCCCCTCTCCCTTTCCCTTCCCCACTCCCTCTTCCCTCATCTCCCTTCCCCTCAGCAACGTCTCGGGCAACTATCTCACAGGCCCCATTCTGGATCGCACCAGCATGCCGGCCTCTGCCCGCTACGAGTACAGCAACAACTACTTCACAGGCGACCTGCAGCAGGCCGACTGCGCCGCACCCAATCTCAAACTCAGCTTAAAATGCTTCTCCACTCCAGCAGCAGCAGCAGCAGGAGCAGGAGCACCGGCGGTCACGTGTGCGGCGCAGCGGTTGCCGGTAGTGTGCGTGGCGTTCTGTGGGATGAATGGCACCACCACGCCGGTTTGCAACGGCATGGGGCTGTGCTACCTGGACGGGCCGAGCCTCGCTCCCACGTGCCTCTGCCTGAATGGAGCCGTGCAGGATGGAAGAAGCTTCTGCGCCCCTCCAGGTACGTGCAGTCGGAGAAGGAGCAAGTAGTAAGTAGTAGGAGCAGCAGCAGAAGTAGGGACACTAACGGTAGAGAACAAGCTGCATGTTGACTAGCAAATCGTTTGCATCCTTGCATCTCAGCATGCTCACACTCACTCGTTTGTTCTTTTTCGTTTCATCGCTTCCTCTCCCTTTTCCCTCGTACCCTCCACTCCAACTCCGCTCCTCTCCTCTCCTCTCCTCCAGCTCGTCCCCTCCTCTTTCCGACTCCTCTCCACAAGCCCGAGCCCAACCCGGAACCAACCCCAAGCCCAATCCAACTCCCAACTCTGCTTCTGACCACGATTTATTGGCTACTTTCTGACGGTCCTCACTGCATGCAGGGTCTGTGAAGCGGAGGGAGCTGGTGGCGCCGACCATTCTCACCAAGGGCACAGACGAAGCGACGGCAGGCGTGTTCACACCAGACCCTCTCCCGCTCTTCACCTACCGGACGGTTCCCACCGGCTGTGGCACCGACCTGCCGTTCCGAGTCGAGTTCACGTTCTTCATGTTCCCCACTGCCATCGCATCCTTTAAGGGCGCCAACGGGCTGGCGTTTGTGATTTCGGCGACGAATGCGGTGGGGACTGGAGGGGCAGGGGGAGGGGTGGGGTACGCTGGCATGGACGGTCGGAGCATAGCCGTGGAGTTTGACACGTTCACCGATGCAGCGCACAAGGATCTGCAAGGCGACCAGGTGGGTCTCAACACGAAAGGCAACGCCACGTCCGTCAAGGCTGTTCTCTCGCCTTTCCGGCTGAACAACCAGATTGGTTACACCGCATGGATTGACTACAAGCCTGGAGGAGTTTCGGGGGGGCTGGGAAACCTCAAAGTGTATCTGGCTGCAGGAGGGGACAAGCCTGACGCGCCTCTGCTGGAGAGGAATATATCCCTGTGTGCGATTCTGCAGCCAACGTCGACTGATGCGTCGTTCTACTTTGGGTTTGTGGCGTCCTCTGTGGGTCCCTACCAGCAGCAGCACGCCATCCTCGCGTCCTTCATTGAAACAGGTGAGCCGAGATTATTTAGGGGCACTTCTCGTCACTCCTTCACAATGCGGGTTTGAATGGATTGCGGCTGGTTAGCTTGATCGATGTCCCTTTCTCTGGTTTCTGGCTGTTTGATCTATCTAGTGCCTGTATTGTTCTGATCGCGTCTGTTGATTCGTCTGCAATTTTGTTGGCATCACTCGTTCTGCTGTCTGACAACTTCTCAACTTGTCGTTCGCTGATATTTATAATCATTCTGTTCGCTTGTCATGCAATGCTTGGTGCCCTGCCCTTTACAGGGCTGACAGTGCCGTCACCATCCAGGGCAGTGTCCATCACTCCAGGTACACCATACACCTCTTCATGGAGTGTTTTCCTTGCGGAAGTCTTTTTTTTTTTTAAATTTTATTTTGGTTTCCATACACCTTTCTTTCTTTTTCCGTGCAAGCATGTTTTGTTTGATAGCCTCGAAACCCCATCTGTCCACTCGCTCCCTTTCCCCACCCCACCCCCACCCCCACCCCCACCGCCACCCCCACCCCCACGCCTCCCTCAACCCCCAAGCACACCTCTCCCTCGTTTGTCGTCCTCTTCCCCTCCTTCCTCCAATCATACCCCCCAGAATGCTCCACATTACTCACTTTCTTCTCCCTCTTGCCCTCCCTCCTTCCTCCCTCCTTCGCCGTCTTCCCATCCTTGCTTCCTCCTATCCCTCGCCCTCTTGTCACCCATCCCCCTTCGACTTCTTGTCCCCCCTCCCCCCTCCCTTCCTTCGGACTCTCCCCCCCCCTTCCTTCGCCCCCCCTTCCTTCCCCTCCTCGGCTGCAGCCTTTGGCCTCACCGTGTCCCCCTCCACCTTCCGCCCTGTGGGAGCGAGTCCCTTCACGCGCTACGTGAGTGCGTCCTACACTCTCTCGGGCCAGCAGGACGCCTGGCTCCTCCGCGATCCTACCTCCTGGGACGTCACGTGGCTCAAATGGCCCGTTAAAGACCAGGACGCCTGCAGTGAGTGCCGTGGGGAGGGCGGGAGGGCGGGAGGGCGGGAGGGCGGGAGGGCGGGAGGGTGGGAGGGAGGGAGGAAGGGAGCAGGGAACAGGGTGTCAGGGAGGAGAGCGGAACACAGTGAGCAGGTTAAGGGTTTTGACGGAAGTTTTTCAGGGGCGTACAATAGAACGAGGGGCAATTGCATTTGCTTTCATTCAAAATCCTATAACATCATCGCCTCTTTTGCCATGTCCCGCACATTGCTTCGCCTCACCTTGCATCCCATTTGGTGCCCAGATGCGTGCTGGGCGTATGCAGTGGTGGCGAGCGTAGAAGCAGCATACGGCATCGCAACAAAGAAACCAGCGCCACAGCTGTCAGTGGACTCGCTCTTTGCAGCCATGGGGCTCACCACTGAAGATGCCAAGTGCGCCGATGGGGGCTCTCCAACAGAGGCCTTTGAGAAGCTTTTGACTCTGCCCAAAGGAGGACTCACTCTAACCACGAATGTAAGAGCCACTATTCTCACTGTGCTGCTTTAACGATTCTGCAAGTTTTTGCTTCACCACTATGCCCGAAGGGGTGCTGATCTTCACTAATTCGCCAGCCTAATTTCTCCGAAACTTAAGCCTTCCTCTCTCTACTGCATCACCACATTCCATCTCCCCCACCTTCAAACCATGGTGGCATATTGTCCTAGTGCAAGCCAGAAATTAACTAATATTTACCAGTTCTCAACGTGGTCGACCAGATTCTACATATCCAACCCAAACACCTAACTGTCCTGCCCTCATACCAGCTTTCTCCCCTCTATGTAGATTCGTTAAACTTTACGCAAGTTTTTTTCGTGTGTTGTTTTTTTTTTTTGTTTTTTTCCCTGCCCATCCTTGCAATCTCTTAGCGTTCTAAGGGTTCCAACCGAGTTGGAGCGACCAAGGTCTAGGACGCTGGGCGCATCCTTTTTAACACAGTATAAGAGAGAAATTATGATTGGAATGTGGGTCAGGTCAGGGTCAATTCGTCAACCCCAATGTTGCATGTTAAATGGCCAATTTGTGGAAAGGTCGACCAAATCAGCTATTTCGTGTCACTCTTCCTAAGCATGGATCCACCATATGCCCTTGCTTGCTTTGCATGATGGATTCTTAACGTCCCTTTCAGGCCACTTACTACCCCATCCAAGGTTTTGAGCGCACGCGGTTCAAGGGGTATGTGGGGCTCATGCTGGCAGTGCAGGGGCAGCCAGTGGTGGTTCACATTCAGGCATCTGCTCCCACGTTCGCCGCTTATGATGGGGTGAGTGGAACACGTTACACATGTGACGAAGAATGATTATGATGAAATAGATTTACGGTACTAAAAAACTTGCCATAAATGTATTCCTCTCTCTTCGTAAGGTATAGAAGTTTGAATGTAGACCATGCTATAGAAAGGAAGATGGGGATACCATAGATGTGTGTCTTGCAAAAGCGAATATCAAATGCTTTTGGTAGACATGCCGCAATTCATTGCCCCTCGTCCTTTCTGCTGCCACGCTTGTTGCTCTCTCGGTCACCTTTCCTTGCCGTTTTGCTTTTTGTGCTTCCTGTGCTCACTGCGATTCCAGACATACAAGTACCAGGACCCAGCATGCTATACGGGCGAGCTGAACCACGTGGTGCTGGTTGTTGGCTACTCCGTTGCCGTGGGGGACAGCGTGCAGAAGCGTATTCCCCCTCCGTTCTGGATCATCCGCAACTCATGGGGCGCGGACTGGGGCTATAATGGCCACATGCGCATGGACATTCAGGGTTTAGATGGCGTGTGTGGCATCAACGTGTTACCAGGCATCTACCCCATTATCAAGAGTAAGGCATCCAAGCCAACACATTTGTCAAAAGTGACACATCATCCACCCCATTGTCAAGAATAATCCATATGACAACCGACCCATTGTCAAAATCGACCCTATGTTTTCCCTCCAGTTCCCAAGGACCCATGTGGCAAGAAGAGTTTCAAGGCGGATCAAGACGTCAGTACCACCTTCAACCCGTGCGGTCGCTTCAAGTGCAAGCCCTTCCCTAAAACTGACACCAACTCCTGCAACAAGTGCATCCTCCCCAAGTCGGCCATACAGCCCTTTGTGGAGGTCCCGAATGGATTCGGCTCTAATATATGCGTCTACGGTGAGAAAGACATGTCTTAACATAATGACGTGGCACTGGTTACATTATACAGTGATGCAGTTCACCACAATGCAGTGCATGAGGCCCATGTTCCTAGTGCATATTGGAGCATCTTCAGCCCAAGATTTTCAATTCATATTTCCTCTTTCCCGTCTGCCCTTCCTTCCTCTTTTACAGTGGATGTCTGCGGGTCGCAATTGAAGAACCCGTGTGCCGTGGGCACATGCATCAACGATGGCAAGGGCTCCTACTCCTGCATCTGCCCTTCCAACTACGTTCCCACCCAGACAGTCGACGGCTTTCCAACCTGCGACCCAGGTGCTGCACTGCACCCTCCACTTCCTTGCTTGCTAGAGGATTTTCTCCTGTCATCAGAAAAAAACACGCCCACACCCCCCAGGCCTGTTGATTGTAGTAGCTCTTTCTAGGACACCTCGGTTGAAACTTGGATTTTGTCTGCCTGGCAGCATGACTATCCTGTCTCGTCCTCCTCCCACTCCCTTCCCTTTTTCCAGCCGTTGCCTATCTCTCTTACTCACACATGCCTCACGCTCTGTTTTTCTCCCTTTTGCTCCCCTCTCTTCAGCTGATAGCTTAGCCACCAGCTTGGCAGTGAGTGGCAGCAACTGGGCCTGCTCCGACGTTCAACCCCTCATGGGGCTCACTAGTGCAGAGTTTATGCAGCAGAACCCGGTAAGTAGCACTGGGGTGGGTGCACGCATGGGAAAGCGAGGCAGGTGGAATTGATGGAAGGGCCTTGCTGGTGTTTCCACGGAGTGGCAGTTGTGGGAGGTATGCATAGATGTCATTTGTTCTTTTAAGGCTTCCACAGATTTTAGTTGAAGGCCTCATGCTCGTGTTGTGTGGCTGCATCTCGCAGGCTCTTGACTGTTCGAAGCCGCTGCTACTGAATGCGGTGATCCAGCTGGGCGGCTCTCCTGTCGTCCCCTGCACTGCCTTCTTCTATGCCCTCTCTGTGAGCTCTTGGGCTTGCGTTGAACCACCTTTTTGGCCTGCAAGGATGGTGGAAGGCATGTGATTGTTTTCTCGTCAGGGATCATGTCAGGGATCATGTGCTCCAGCTGGGTGGCTCTCTTGTCGTCCTCTGCATTGCCTTCTTCTACGCCCTCTCTGTGAGCTCTTGGGCTTGCGTTGAACCATTTGGAGGGATTGTGCAGACGGTTCAGCTGGTTGCTGCGTGAACACCAATGAGGGGGCGATGGCAGACATTGATATCTTTTGTGGTCCAATTGATGCATAACTGCACAATGAGTCTTCCCCTACTGCACAATTGAGTCTTCCCCTACTGCTCAACGAAACAGCATCACATCTCTTTCACATCAGCACAACATCACATGCGCTTGGCGTTTTCAAACCTCAAGGGGCAATAAGCCATCACGCAACTCATAAATCATCCCTCCAGGGCGACACGTGTGATTCCATCTCCACCATGTATAGTGATCATCAGCATCACACTTCTTGCATTGCCTTCGCATTTGAAACCCCAAAGAGCAATAATCCCTCATTCTCAACTCCTCTTCCCCTTGTTGAATTGAACCCTCCAGGGCGACACATGTGATTCCATCTCCACCATGCTCAACCGATCCCAGTCGGACCTCCTCAGCCTCAACCCCGGGCTGAGCTGCGAGCAGGGCATCAAGGCGGGCCGCTCCGTGTGCGTTGAGCGCAACCCCGACTTTACCTTCACTGTCCCAGAGTGCCTCAAGTTCGCCACACTCACAGTGAAGGACACGTGTGCGCAGCTGCTGGCCAGGACAGGAGACTCTGGAGAGGTGAAGGCGTCTTCGTGGGATGAGCTGTACCGCAACAACCCCGGGCTTGCCTGCTCCAACAACGTCTCGACAACTACCTCTGCTCTTGGCAGCAGTGGTGACATCCAGGTAAGCGGTAGGAAGCCAGGTCCCATGTCTTGTGAGACGTCTCAAAAGTCTGCTCCAACGTCGTCTCGACAAGCGCCTCTGCTCTTGGCAGCAGTGGTGACGGTCAGGTGAGCGGTGGAAGGGAAGGTTAGTGAACGAGGTGCGTTTTTCCAGAGTTTGGTTCGGCACGAGTAGCAAGTTATATGAGCTCTCAAGTCTTGCATTTCCACGAGGCATTGTAACAGGTGGTTGTGGTAGTCAGCGTTTGAGTTACGTAAAAATGTAACAACCGGTTTTGATTTGGACGACTTATCTGGTCAGGTTCAGACCTGCAAGGCGTCTTTGTGATTCTCACAAAGCTGGTAAGCAACCTGAAATCTGAAGACCAGATTTGCTTTTCCTAGGGGTGGTTTCATTGTTATGATTGACCTTCATATCCAGTTCCTCATGCGAATGTGTGCATCCACTTCTTCCCTTTCCTCTCCCCCATTACACCTTGCTGCTACCTCAGGTGTGCCTCAAGGCGGATTACTGGTCGTTTACACTCGGCCGGTGCACCAAGGGGCGCTCCAAGTCGGTGTCGCCATCGCTGACTTGTTCTGGCGCTTACGCATTCTATGGCGGCACCTCAGGCGAAGCAGCTGCCATGTTTTCTGACTACAACGGCAACGCCTGTGCCAAGAATGTTGGATCCAAGTATATCTGTGTGCCACGCTAGTATCATGATTCCTTCTGGGAAGGGGGGGGAGGGGGGGGGGGGGGTGGGGGGGGATTGGGGGGGGGGGGTTGGGGGGGGTGTTGGTGTGCTGTGGTACTGTATTAGAAAGTGAGAGCCAATTGGGTCAAGGGCAGGGCTAATTTGTGGTCATCAGTCTTGCCCATCAGCAAAAACCTTGTAATCAGAGTAGGCCTCTTTGGGAATCCTGATCTGTCAGGATTTTTGCAGGTTTAAATTTTTTTACCCTCGGTCATCAGTGTAACAAATTTTTAAGCCCTTGTTTCATTATTTTTAACACTGCACACAATAACAATATCAATCATCATCATCAGACATGCCACATTGGAGTTCTTCGTGCTCACATGTAGGACAACTTGACCAACTCGGGACGTTGTTGCTGCCTCGAATGAAACTGCAAAATTGGCCAATGGTGGTCAACATCGTGCCAGCACACATACCGTAATCTCGTGACGATTTGTACAATTACGAAAGTTGGCACAAGGGATTCCGAGGTTACGGGGAAGGGGGGGGGGGGGGGGGGGGGGTGGGGGCGGGGGGTGGGGGCCTAGAACTCGCTTCAGGGTAAAACTCGATAACAGAATTGGCAACCCTGAAGCGACAGTGTAGCATAAACGTAAAGCCTGGCACATCAGGGTAAATGAAGGTCCCAAAAAAATTACCCGACCCCATCAGTGTTACTACCTATAAACCACCCTGCAGGGCTGATTTTATCAGGGTAATTACCCTGATTTCAGGGTGATCACAGACTTCTCACCTGGTGGTCCCTGCAATTTCAGAATTTCTGACTTGTGAACACTGATCCATTCAAATTACTGCTTTAGCGAACCCTGAAATATTGTATCTAGGCTCAGAGTAGTGTTCTTACTGACTCTGTCAATGTAGAGTACGCGTTCTGTGGACTCTGAATTTGACCTTATCGGAAGGAAGTTTCTCGGAACTTTCCTTCCGACAACCCCTCCTTCGGAGTCGCAGTCCAGCCCGAGCGTGAGCAGCGCGCGGCAACATGTCTGACAGGTGAATACACTCAACGTTCGTTAGATTCACAAACATTTAATATCCGAATTGTATTGTCGCAATTGCGTGTGCGTGAAGTTACCAACCCGTTTTTTTCGTTTCGCGCGATGAAGTTGGCGATTCGCGGGTAATCATCGAATACGAAATCTTGGCACATCTATGGTACCGAAATGTTTAGTGGACCGAAATTGCTCGTTTCTTCCCCACCTAAAACTTGTGGTGTAATATATTTTTTGCAACAAAGTAAACGGTTAGAAAGTAACGCACACAAGGTGTGCACGAAATGATTCGCGTTTTTTCTGGGATCATGCGGGGTGAAACTTTTCCCCGTTAAACACAGTGCGCGTTACTACATTGATGTTTAGTTCTCGACCCTGAGCAATCAGAGTTAACTACTTTTCAACACTGAGCAATCAGAGTAGCCTATGTCAGAATGTTATTATTGTCTAGCCTGTAGTGGGGTGCTCTATAGCGAGTACAACCCAGTTAGGGTTTGCTATATGTACCCCAACTGCTGCTAGTGAAACCTCACTCCTTTCATTCATCCTTGCTTAGTTCTTCTTAACATGCTATCAGAGCAGGTCGACCCTCCTGGGTCGATCCTGTGGGTGGGCCCACCACCTAAGCCTTCCGCTGCTACTGCTACTGCTACTGCTACTCCCTGTCCGCCGCGCGCCCCGTGGCGCGCGGCGTCGAAACTAGGGTTTTCAGCCCGCCGTGCGCCCCGAGGCACGCGGCGGTTTTCTGCCCGCCGTGCGCCCCGAGGCGCGCGGCGGTTCTCTGCCCGCCGTGTGCCCCGAGGCGCGCGGCGGGTTCCTGCCCCGTCACTCGGCACGTCGCCCCCGGGAGGCGCTGCGACGGGCGACGGGGACCCGCGCGTCGCCCCCCGTCGCCCGTCGTGGCCTGCGCGCGGCCCGTACACCCGGCACGCGGCCCGTACGGGCTGCGCCAGGCCCGCGCGCGGCCCGTACGGGCTGCGCCAGGCACGCGCGCGGCCCGTACGGGAAGCGCCAGGCCCGCGCGCGGCTCGGGCCGCCTGCGCGCGGTTCGGGCGGCTCTACCAGGCCCGTGGGCGGCCCGTTCCTCGCTGCTCCTGCCCTCTCCACTGTCCCCCGTGCTTCTACCGGCGCCCCACCCCTCCTACAGCCCGTTCTCCTGAATTAGGGTTTGGGGGTGAAGAGTGTGGGGGTGGCGGCTATGGGGGTGTCGGTTGTGAGTTCCTCCCCCTGCTCCTCCTCCTCCCTCGTCTCCCTCTGCTACAGCTGCCGCTGAGGGGGGTGGTGTGTGGGAGCCGAGGGTTTAGGGTTTAAGGGGGGTGCCGTGGAAGTGGAGCTAGGGTGTCAGCAGGGGGTGTGTGAGAGGGGCGTGGGACGGTCGGGGGAGGTTGCGTGGAGGTAGCCGTCGTGACGCCAGCAGCGCCAGTAGTCCGGATGCCCTCGCGCGTTTCGGTAGCCCAGCGAGCCTGCTTCGCCAGTCGCCTGTGGGTCCGTTGCTCCTGTGTGTGCTCGTCGTAGCCGCGGAGCCAGATACTCCCGTAGTCCGGTGCCCTCGTGCGCTCGGTAGCCACTGTGCGCGCCGCTCCTGTTGCCCGTGTGTCTGCAGCTTCAGTCGGCGCCTTTCATCTTCTCGCCCTCACAGTTTCTCCTCCTCCTCACTTGCCCTCTATGATCACCTCTAGCTTTGCTTATAATTGTGAACTATTGCTATGCCTGCTCATTGTACTGATTACACCCCACTTTGGCTATGGGGGTGTGTCAGAATGTTATTATTGTCTAGCCTGTAGTGGGGTGCTCTATAGCGAGTACAACCCAGTTAGGGTTTGCTATATGTACCCCAACTGCTGCTAGTGAAACCTCACTCCTTTCATTCATCCTTGCTTAGTTCTTCTTAACAGCCTACCTGTGGAAAATATGCACCCATAATACAGGGGGAAAATTTTCCCCGGAATTAGGGATGTCAGAATATTATGCTCTAGCCTGTAGTGGGGTGCTCTATAGCGAGTACAACCCTTCTAGGGTTTGCTATTTGTACCCCCATTCTTGCTAGTTCATTCCTCTCTTTTGCCTATTATTCTTGACATGCTATCAGAGCAGGTCGATCCCTTTGGATCGATCCTGTGGGTGGGCTCACCACCTCGTTGCTTCCGCTGCTACTCTATGTGCCGCACGCCCCGTGGCGTGCGGCAGTTTTTTCTTCCCGCCGTGCGCCCCGAGGCGCGCGGCGGTTTTCTGCCCGCCGTGCGCCCCGTGGCGCGCGGCGGTTCTCTGCCCGCTGTGCGCCCCGAGGCGCGCGGCGGGCTTCTGCCCCGTCACTCGACGCGTCGCCCCCGGGAGGCGTTGCGACGGGCGACGGGGACCCGCGCGTCGCCCCCCGTCGCCCGTCGTGGCCTGCGCGCGGCCCGTACAGCCGGCGTGCAGCCCGTACGGGCCGCGCGCCAGGCCCGCGCGCGGCTCGGGCCGCCTGCGCGCGGTTCGGGCGGCTATACCAGGCCCGTGGGCGGCCCGTTCCTCGCTGCCCCTGCCCTCCCCACTGTCCCCCGTGCTTCTACTGGCGCCCCACCCCTCCTACAGCCCGTTCTCCTGAATTAGGGTTTGGGGGTGAAGAGTGTGGGGGTGGCGGCTATGGGGGTGTCGGTTGTGAGTTCCTCCCCCTGCTCCTCCTCCTCCCTCGTCTCCCTCTGCTACAGCTGCCGCTGAGGGGGGTGGTGTGTGGGAGCCTAGGGTTTGGGGTTTAAGGGGGGTACCGTCGGAGTGGAGCTAGGGTTTGAAGCAGGGGGTGTGTGTCGAGGGGTGTGGGACAGTTGGAGGAGGTTGAGCGGAGGCCGCCGTCGTGTCGTCCGCAGCGCCTGTATTCCGGGGTTCGATTAGCCACCGGTAGCTCAGAGAGCCGGTTGCGCCGTCGCCTGTGGGTCCGTTGCTCCTGCCGCGCATATTAGCCGCGGAGCCTGTTACTCCTGTACTCCGGGGCACTCATTCCCGGTAGCCACGTTGTCGCACCAGAGCCGTCTGTTGCCCGTGTGTCTGCAGCTTCAGTCGTCGCCTCCTATCTACTCTCCTCTCGCCAGCCCTCCTCCTCCTCACTTGCCCCCCTGTGACTGCCTCTAGCTTTGCTCATAATTTGAACCTTAAACTATTGCTTCTTGCTTGTGCTCAGAATGTGTGGTGACATTGTGATCCACCCTGAGCTTGTACTGCTTTGTTTGCTCTGCTGATTACACCCCACTTTGGCTATGGGGGTGTGTCAGAATATTATGCTCTAGCCTGTAGTGGGGTGCTCTATAGCGAGTACAACCCTTCTAGGGTTTGCTATTTGTACCCCCATTCTTGCTAGTTCATTCCTCTCTTTTGCCTATTATTCTTGACAAGGGAGGCTTTAAATGAAACGTCAGCCCTGCCACCCTGTTAATCAGGACATCAGGGTGATATACTTTGATAAAATAGGCCCTGGTCAAGGGCCACTGCACAGTGCAAGGTTGGAGCTAATAATGCTCGAGCTTATAGAAGTAAATGTGTAAACAGGCCATCGTCACACACACGCACGCACGCACGCACGGGATAAGGGACAGTGACAAAATTATAGACCTTATGTGCACGCACGCACGCAATCTTGTGTTTCCTGTAGCCCTTTCGAATCTCCACTAGTACCGTATTTACCCGGGTAATGGACCCGCCAAAATTTTAGACCCCCGGGTCGTTCAATAGGGGGGGTCTAATGCTACATGCAATTTCGTAATAGACCCCCCTTCCTGAGACGTCTTCGGATTAGATCCCCCTGAACTGTAGACTACCTGAAACGGATCAGACTGTAATGAGGTCCTGGTCAAGAAGCGCGAAAATTTGCTGATTGGAGCAGATTCACCGCGCGTCAGTTGCGCGTCAGTCCCGCGTCAAGCACGTGGTCAGAATTTCGCTGACGCATTATCAAAATGATTGCATTTCGTTTTGTACAGTGTAGGTTTTTGACGT